GAGGCGGGTGCGGGTGTGTGTGGTGGTGTGTGATCCCCCTCGTCTTTGGCGGCTGGTGCAGCCACACCTGGACGACTTGAGCCGCAGATTCACCAAGAAGGACCGAAAAAAAAAACAAAAAAAAAAACAAGGATGCAGAGGTGGATTGTGGGTAGAACGCTGCTCCTACAGGCCTCCAGCCTAAGTAACCTCCTCAATAAATAATAATTAACACACACAAACACACACACGTGAGGAGGAGGACACACAAACACCTGTTCATGCAGATGATGCTAACGAAGACATCAGTCAAACAAAGAGAGAGAGAGAGAGAGAGAGAGAGAGAGAGAGGCTGCAGCTACACAGAGTCTCTGAGGCAAGGCATCACACACACACACACACACACACACACATCTCCCTCTGTCTTATTTGTCGCTGTGTCCGATTAGGTTTCCAAACAGCTTGTAATGACTGTTAATAAACAGCAGGAGGACGAGGAGGAGGAGGAGGAGGAGGAGGAGGAGGGAGAAGAAAAGAAGAAGAAGGAAGAGGAGAAGGAGGTAAATCAAGCGAGAACTCGACAAAATGAGTTCTCCGGGGGAACAACACACTCCCAATATCCTCGCACGCACAAACAAACAAACAAACAAACAAACAACCAAACAACCAAGCGCGGAGCTGCAGTCATGCTCAGTCGATAACAGACCAGAGCAGACGAGCGACGATCACTGGGTTTGAAAAGATGCTGGACAGCGTGGCGGTGACAGGACAGGAGTCAGGGAGCGGAGCGGTGATAAATCATCAGCTGTTCTGTGGAGATTACACATGTAGAACAGCCATTTATCATCCTTCACCACACACGTGCAGGGGACGGGAACGGAAATGCACAAACAAACGAGACTGAGGTGATTTGTTTTTATTCACGGGATGAAAAAAGTTAAATCCAAAAATGTAGAAAAATGTTTTTGTTTAAAACAAATTAAAAATTATTAAACTTTTTCATGAAATGTCTTCATTTTGTTTGATTTTTTTTTTGTTTTATTTCCCTGTAAAATGACTCATAAAAATCATTATTATATTGTTTGATTTTTTTATAAAACTTTTATATTTACAGGATTTTTTCCCCCATTTTTTTAAATTATTTTTTTGTATTGAACTTTTTAAAAAATATTTATATATAAATTATTTACTCTTCCCTAAACTTAAAAACAATTTAAATAAAAACGAAATTAACGTTGTTTCTTAATGTCAAGAAAACATACTTGTTTTACTTTACTAAAATATAAAATATAAATAAAAATAAATATTTATTATTCTATTTAGAATAAAACAAAAAAAACTCCCAATTAAAAATTAAATAATAATAATATTAATGATGATGATGATGATGATGAAGGAACGCCACTGCCTTCCTGAGCTCCTTCATCCACGTGCCTTCACAAGTCCCTCTCTTCTTTCATCCTTCCTCCCTCCCCC